TCCCACGGTTTCTTCTTGAACTTCGAGATTCGTTGAGCTGGGTCAGTTAAACCATTCATCTTGCAACGTTCTTGTTCTTCCATTCCCAGTGGGATATCGATGGCTGAGGCCTTGAGGACGCAACCTATGTATAGAGGAATATGATAAGACCGCAGAGGAAATAGAGAGGAAAGTAAACGTAGAAAACGCGTACAAGAATGGCAAGCAGTAATTCTTTTTGCCTTGTATGGACGGCGGGCGATCCCAGCCCGGTAATGAGTGGCCAACGTCGAAACCGCACGGTTTGGGGAAGATTAAGAGAATCTTCCTCAGTTGCAGAATACTTCGAGGTTAGAGGAACACCGAAATAGAATGCAGTACATTTTTGCAGAACGTTACAAACTCTTTGACGGATGTGATTGAAACGGGTAGACGCAAATGCTTTTGAGTGCTTCTCCTCGGAGTCGTAGTAGACTGGCTGATATTCTCACTACGGTCGCTATGATTCGTGGTCGCGTTTGCTGTCGTGATAGAGGACCGTCCTTTATCACGAGAAACGCGCCAAGGACATGTGAAAGTAAGGACTTACTTGCAGGGTTTGTTGCAAATGAAGGTGTGGCAGATCCGAGTTCAAAAATCAGGAACGTTCTCAGTCTGACATGATTTGCGCTAAAGATGATAGGCGAAGAAGTCAATGACGACGTCGAGAGTCACTAAATGAGGTGGATAAGTGCGGGGTCTAGTACAGGCAGCGGAATTCCTGCGGAACGAAGGAAAGCCGTAAGGCGAACGAGACCCACCGGACGCAGCTGACCTCTTGAGTACTGACTAGAACATTGTCAAATGACCGATTATGAACAGTAAATGAAGAAGGTTATACAGCGAGGACGCCTCGGGTACTCACAACGCGTCAGACCTGAGAGTCGTAAATCAACCTGCCCTGGACTGTATGAATGTCGTACTCGGAGGCAAGGGACAAATCCTTGAGTGTGCCGGTGACCCATTGAACGGGTGTTTGCACGTTTGATACCCGATAGAGAGATTGGACGGTCTCACAGCAAGTACAAGAAACAATAGCTGTAGACAAATCGTGAGATGACAGCTTGGGAGTACGCCTGGGTCAATTCAACATTACCAAATGCTAGCGATATTGTGTTTTACTTGGGTTCCTCTGTGCCACCCATGATGTCTCCAGCGATCCAAGAACAGATAAGCATCGCAGCTTTTCAATAACACAACTAGACTGCACGCTACCGTACGACCCGAACTTGATGGGATCCGGGTGTCCAAAGATGCGAGCTATCATGTGTATCACAGGTACACCACTCGCGATCGCGTTTAATTATCCAGGGTGCAATGATAAGCATATCGATTCACTGGTTAGGCGGGCGGAATCGGGCGTGAACGCGGGGAACTGGGATGGTGGCGCATCATTAAATGATACACGTCTCAGGCTCATCTTGGAGGATACTGAGACCGAAGTTTGAAAACTATCCGAGTCGAGGCGAGATCCAGACGCACAGACGGAGAGGTTCCGTGGCGTGTACTGTATGTTTACCTTCCCAGATCATAACAACAGATAGATTAGAAGGGTTGTATTTGGGGGGTGCATACCGATTGTGATCGCCGTACAGAAGCCCTCTTCTCCTCCTCGGAGTCGGGATTTGTAGATCGTTGTGGTCTCCCTAGATTACCGCGATGGCGTGTTTGGACGAGGATATCTTATCATATTGAATACCCCATCCCTGATTCATTCGAACGACTCGGAGAGTGGGGTAGCGGCTTAGCAAGATGGTTCACTGCCAACAGTTGAATTGGATATCTAATCATCGTCGGCAGCCAAAGAGCAGGTAGAAACGCGTAGGCTGAATCATGGATTGGTCAGACATATCCCGGCCCTCCGGCTCGCGTTGACTATGGCTGAGTGAGCGCGTTACCAAAGTTGAAGCGAGATTACCAACCGTAGCGGAATGTCGAAAATCAGAACCAGTTTGGTTTATTCTTGAATCCGCACGTACCGGGACACGCTTTTTGAAGACGATCCCACCGGTAAAGCTAAAGAAGGATCCGGTGAACAAGGAAGTTGTGCCCGAAGCAGGTTGTTGATCACAGTGAAGTGTCCGGCCTTTAGATGATACCGGTATATGTTAAAAGACCGGCTGGCAAGCTTCTTTCGTTGAGGACGTCCTGACCGCTGTATACGAGGAAACTCCGAACGCATTGATTTGCCGATATTGACCCAAGTGGCAGTGGATGTCGGAAGCCAAACCGTCCCCCGGGAAGATGTTTGTTCTCAGAAGTTCTTCGAACGTCTTGGAGTTAAGATGAACAGACGAACCGTACCAGTTCCGTCAGCGCCGAAGCTAAACGGTGACGCTTTTGTTCGAGTACATTCTAATAGCGTCTCTGAGCGAGATAGATGTCGCTTCGGCTTAGTAGCAGAAGAGGCAGAACACAGAGACACGTCATGGGGGATTGTGGAACAAATAAATTTCCGCTGCAAAAGTCATGAATTAAATTATCGCAATCCAAACAGGTATGGAATAAAGCAGAACCAGCTACTTGTTGTAGTAGCAAATGTAGTGGTCGCCGCAAGGACCATCGCCCGAGTTTGGGTAGTTGAAGCGCCAGCGGTCGCTAATCGAGAATAATCAGTCTCGACATCATTCAGCGCCGCGTACAGAATCAAGCTTACCCTTCGTCGACCATGTCATCTGGGTTGCCCCAGCTTTCGTCACCATGCCTGCTACCGCCCTTGCCAATGTAGCAAATGTCTATGGAAGGAGTGAGATCAACGAGACTGACTGAGCGCTAGACTTACAGTGTCCGGGGCAAGCATTGGGGTGGCCGTCCGTGGAGCCGAAGTTCAGCTTCCACCGGTCGCCCTGGTCAACGACGAGGTCGGGATTGCCATAAGAGGTCTCCCGCTTGGTCACGACGCCCTGTAAAAGAAACGAAGCTAAGTATGGTTTTGCAGCACGGTAACGAAGATCGACGTACAGTGTCGACGTTGGGGCTCGGGAGAGCGACGACGCCCAACGCAAGAGTCATCAATGCAGCGAAGGAAGTGGGGAAATGCATTGTGTTAGAAGAGGTTGTCGATAAGAAAGACTGCAAACGAAGAAGGTCAAGCAGAATGAAGAACAACCTCCCAGACCAAGCAGTCTCTTATACGGGGTTCATGGCACTCTCAAACACGAATGGCCGAGATTAAACAAAACAGCCTAAATTCGCAACAGTGCCACAGATGTCGGTAAAACACTTGGAGTGGGCGCCTGCTCCAAAAACGCCACGCGTAGACGTGTCACGTTAGCGTATTGAACGCCGGCAGAGCAGGGCTGAAGCGGATGTGTGGTGAACGGTCCTGAGCAAGATGAAAGTACCTCTGTAATCGCCCAGGAAGGATGAAACGTACGAGAGCATTTCCCGTTCTTGTCGAGAACCATGGCTATGCCAAGTCGCGGAGAGACGAGGCTTGACGATCTTACGGAGTATAGTTTGACTGCAAGTAGCAAAATGATGTCGCTTGACGTGGACGAAACATCATGGCAGTAAGACGGAAGAGTGAATAGCCGGCGGCAATTAAATGTGCTTTCTTGACACCACCATCATCTAACCACTGAAGCCGCCTCTCTTTTCCTCGACTTTGCTTTTCCGTATCCTTCAGGACTCCTTGTTGACGACCAAGAAAACATTCAGCACTACCTGATAATGTCAACGAAGTGCGGAATAGACTCGCGAAAGCTCTAACAACTTCACACAGCTTCCCCGCTTGTTTGATCCTGGTCCGTGGAACACGGGATGCGTATCTAGTGGCGCTAGTCTTTACTTTTCTGGTCAGTGCAACGCAGCCTGGGAGCGGCCTGTACTGGTTCAATACAACACAATCTACAGCCCTTGACTTTTGGAAGAGCTAACGCCATCGCGGAAATTCTACCTGTTTCTGAAAGACTTTACGAGAACAGCTTTTCTCTTCTTCCGACGACTGTAACGGAACTTTTACTGTATTCTCGTCTCGTCTTATTGTTTGAGGGTTTGAATCTGCATCGAATATCGAACTCCGCAGCTCGAAATGTTTACCAGGTCGCACGAGGCTGTTTCTTCCAGGCTTCTGGCCGGGTCAATTCCGCCGTCTCATCTCATCTGTGTTTCATGGACTGGCTCTCTGGTATAAAGGCTGACTGCTTTCCGACCATTGAAGTTCTTCATTCTGCTTTAACTTCTTCGTTTGCACTGGTCTTTCTTATCCACAACCTCTTCTAACACAATGCACTTCCCCACTTTCTTCGTTGCATTGACGACTCTTGCGTTGGGTGTCGTTGCTCTCCCGAGCACCAACGTCGACACTGCCAGTGTACGTCAATCTTCGTTACCGTGCTGCAATACCATACTTAGCTTCGTTTCTTTTATAGGGCATCGTCACCAAGCGGGAGACCTCTTATGGAAACCCCGACCTCGTTGTCGACCAGGGCGACCGCTGGAAGCTGAACTTCGGCTCTACTGACGGACACCCGAATGCCTGCGCAGGACACTGTAGGTCGTTGCCCTCCTTTTGGGAACACGTCGAGCTCATTCGCTTTATAGACATTTGCTACATAGGCAAGGGCGGCAGCAGACATGATGATGAAAGCTGGGGCAACCCGGACGACATGGTCGACGAAGGGTAAGCTTGCTTCTTCTGTACGCGCTGATGACTCGAGACTGATTGTTCTCCTTTAGCGACCGCTGGCGCTTTAACTACCCCAACTCGGGTGACGGCCCTTGTGGTGACCACTACATCTGCTACTATAACAAGTAGATGGTTCTGCTTTATTCCATATTGCGATAATAAATTCATGACTTCTTTCATTGAACAGCAGCGGAATTGTATTGTATGTGTTCCACAATCCCGGATGATGCGTCTTTCTGCCTCTTCTGCTATGACGAAGCGACATCTATCTCGAAACCAGATGGCCGTCGGTCGATACTGCGCCACCGTTACCTTGAGCGAAGAACATGTTAATTCCCCGTGATGTTGGAACACGGCCGTAGCTCAGTGGTAAAGCACACAATTGAAGATCACGAACAATGTATGCCTGTTCGACTCAGGCCGGTCGTATTGGTCGTATTCATCCTCATAGAAGACTCTTTTTTTGGTATGGAAAACCTGTTTGCCGGTGTTTCCCAAACACAAATGACAACCGACCTCCCTTCTTATTTTAAGACCATTATTCAGAATGGTTGATACGCGCCGCCACCGTTAGCACTTGTCGACGAGCCGGCGATCCTTCCGCGCTACGACTAGGACCGTCCCAAACCCAGAACGATCTTTGGTTCGTTGGCCAAGATCGAAGGCCGCTATATGCAACAAGAGTCAGACCTACACCGATGTGCTGGGGCAGCCTTTGCAAGTTGGAGTCCGTGAAATATTCAAAAACGTAGATCTTTCTCTACTTTGTATAATGATACATTAAGTACTTGCCTTATCCAACAATCTCAACACTATACCCACCCTTCATCTCGCCTCGCACAACCATCACCTCAACCCCACTCGCATCGCCACATACGCGCAGCACAGCCGCAACCTCCCCGAGCCTCCGACTATCCGGTACACGCACCTCCACATCCAGCACCCCATCCCCAGGATTAACAACAACCCGCACCTCCTTCGCATAATCATACGTAGCCAGCCTTCGCCCTACACCCTCCCCGTCGCATTTCCCAAGCACAACCACACCCCCAGGGCGCAACAACACAGGAAGACTCATAAAATCATGCGTCTCCACGAAATACCGCGGCCCCGACGCATCTTCCCGTCCACCATCCCATACCAATTTCCTTCCGGGACATAAAACTGCACCGACCCGGCCTGGTTGAAGATGGGACAGACCATCAGGTTAGTGCCGAGGAGGTATTGGGTGTCGATGGTCCAGCAAACGGGGTCTTCGGGGAACTCCATGAAGAGCGGGCGCATCATCGGCACACCGGTCTCGTGGGTGTCGATAGCCGTCGCGTAGAGGTAGGGCATGAGCGAAAGCTTGAGATCGATGAATTTCTTCAGTACTCGATCCGCTTCGCCAGTTTCGTCTACGAGCCATGGGACCTGAAGGAACAACGTCAACGTGTGCGTTCACCAAAGGGAGTATAACGTTAAAACGCACTCGATAACTTCCACTCCCATGTAACCGCGAATGACTCGATAACGCCCCAAACGCGAACCACCGTTTATACAATGCGGGATCAACTCCTCCATGAAAACCTCCAGCACCTACTTGATGTCAGCCTCCAAGCCTCCACACAGCAACCTAAAGTAACGTACCCAAGTCGTGCATGAACCCCCGATATCATGCGCCCAGTACCCGAACCCCGACACGCCCAAACTCAACCCTCCCCTCAACGTCTCCGCCATAGCCTCAAACGTCGACATCGGGTCTCCTCCCCAATGCACAGGAAACCGCTGCCCACCAGCCGTCGCAGCGCGCGCGAATACAATCGCTTCATGCTTGCCCTTGTACTTCTCCACGGCTTCAAATGTGACTTTATTGTATAGGAAAGCGTAGTAGTTGTGCATCTTGGCAGGATGCGAGCCATCGAAGTAGACTGTATTGCCCGTCGGGATGCGTTCGCCAAAATCGGTCTGAAAGTGTTGAGTATAGACGAAGCGTTTGGTGTGGGGTGTTACCTTGAAAGTATCAACACCCATATCCATAAGGGCGACAAGCTTGGACTGGTACCACACGCAGGCAGCGGGATTGGTGAAATCGACAAAGGCCATGCCCGCTTGCTATAACGCTACTCAGTACAGACGTCTGGAAGAAAAATGTCACAAACCCAATAATCGAACTGCCACACACTCCCATCCTGTTTCTTGATGAAAAAGCCTCCTTCGACGCCTTCATCGAATATCTTGCTCTCCTGAGCGATGTATGGGTTGATCCAGACGCAGATCTATTCCTTTTTGAGCGCACTAAACTCGAAGAAAACCCGCGACCGACCTTATACCCCTTCTCCTTCAGACGCGAAAGCTGCCCCTTCGCATCCGGGAAAAACTTGTTGTCAAACTCGAAGTCACACCACTGGAATGCCTTCATCCAGAAGCAATCAAAGTGGAACACCCCCACAGAAATATCTCGATCCTGCATCCCCTGAAGGAAGCTAGTAACCGTCGACTCGTCATACTCAGTCGTGAAGGACGTGGAAAGCCATAGGTCGAATGTCCAAGGTGGAGGAAGCGCTGGGCGTCCAGTGATAGCCGTATACCGCTCAAGGATCGCCTTTGGTGTAGGACCGTGCACGATGTAGAGTGATATCGCCTCCATTGGCACCGAGATGTTAATTCGACTCGCACCTAGGAATGATATGATTCATCTGCCACAGTCGAATCATGAAAAACACCTACTTTCGCTCTGAATTTCAAAGCTAACGAAGCCAGGAAAAGCGACGAACACGCCGTATCCGCGCGAGCTAAGGAAAAAGGGAATATTCTTGTACGCCAGTTCAGAGGACGTCCCGCCACTTTCATTCCACATCTCAACGGCCTATTCATTCCGTTCAGCATCGAGTAGCAAACGAACCCGAGAGACCACGAACCTGCCCATTCTTTACAAACGGTCCGAATCGTTCGCCCAAGCCATATATCTTTTCGCCCACATAAGTCTGAAACTGTACCGTCATCCACATGTCGCCTTTATCCGGATCGGTAAGATTTAGATTAGGATGTCCCAAGTTGGTATCGCGCTTTACATATCCGATTGATCTCCATCCCAGTTGTGCGAGTAGATGGCCAGACGCATCGACTGGCGAGATATTGGTCGGGTTCGCGGCGCTGTGGGAACGTACAGCAAAGTGGAATTGCCCCGGGCGCGTGTCAAAGACAGCAGACAGCGTGTCGGTGGCGAGCGTTAGCTCAGACTCCGACCTGAGAATACGGAGGTGGTCTTGACGGGACGCAGTCTGTTTTCATAACGTAAGATTAGCCCAAAGCATGGCCAAGTTTGAGCTAAAACGACGCACACAGTGTTTCGCGCTTACGTCTGGAAACAGTTCAAAGTGGGGTCCTTGGAGGGTAGGCTTGTGCGCTTTCCAATGACAGGCTTCGAATTGGATAGCATCGGGAATTGGAGACGAACAGTCAAGTGTGAGCGTGGCCGCGTTCAGGGTATCACCGCGAGAGCGTATCCGCTTCGTAGTCTATGAAATAAAACTGTTAGAAGGAGATTTAGAGATTAAGCAAAGCTCAAACGCACCGCGACACATCGAATGCGATCTTCAAAAGCCTCACTCTTTACAATCTCCGTCGCCCAGTTGATATCGACGTTTGGGGCATTCTCCCACATGCCAGCGGAGAACTTGACCATGTTTGCAATACTGCATAACACGGAAAGTTGGTTCCTTTATATGTCCATTATGTTATAGGGCGCGACGCCCGTGCCCACGCTCGGCTAGCAGAATTTGATGTAACGATAAGTGCGACGGCGTGCGTGGGCGGTGTAGTTCCGGCGGGCAGGGACAACTCCTGGACGTAAAGCTTTGTGGAGGGAGGCGAGAGAAAACCATCCCTGACTGTCAGGTGTGACCAGGAGCGTAGGGAAATACATCGCTGATGAAAGAAGAGAGCAAGAATGGTCGCGATCGGCGCAGCGCCCAACCTTCCTGATCGGGATGACCTTCTTGATTCCACCCATTCGCGTCGCGCTGGTTTCAAGGATTGTTTTCCACTTGACAGTAACAATCTTCATATCTACGAAGCTTCTCCGGAACATCTCCGTAGAACATACTGGATGGAACATCCGGTATCAATGCCACTCTACTGTACGTGTTCCCTTCCTTCCACTCCTCGCCGACTATTATCAGCTCTTGATCAGCTCTTTGTGTTTCATCAAACTTGTCGACAGTGACAATCCAACTACGCACCTACATCACCTCTACGCTCCACACAAAGTATTCTCATCAATCCCTTCTATAGCGACAAAGGTTTTTCCGATGGCCTACCTGTCTTGTGGTTCTGTGGTCACTGGTACGCGTCGCGCAACTATGCGTCATCGTTCCTGCCCTCGACTACTTTCCCCGTAATCGTCATAATCATCATCGTTCGTGTTATCGTATCCTATAACTGCGATTGACGATCCACGCCTCAAACTCGGAAACGAATCAACTTGGTTCGGCTGTCCACTACCTCCCAACTTGCAAGTACAGAGCAACACCCCAGCTGCGACCTCCCCCTACTCACGAGGCGTCCTCACTACCACCACTCCCGCTGTAAGGAATGTCAGCTGCCGTCGCCATATCGAGTCGCTACTTCTCCCCAAGCCTAGCCTCCCTACATGTGCCCTTCCAACTGCTTCGTCTCTCACTCGGGTCCAATACTAATGTCTTGCTCTGCTGTCTGAAGGCGATGTGGTTCGCATGCGCTCTGACTCAGCGACGCGATGCCCGGTGTCACTGTCTCATTCGTCTCGGCTCATTCGGGGAGTGCGTGTCCATCTCACCTTTGTAACTCGTATTCCGCGTCGTTGAATCGTAATCCATCTTTATCATTAACCCGGTTCTGGGAGACGCCCGCACCTATTGTCTTTCAGCCTTCTCGTTTCGGAATGGACAGCCTCACACCAACAGTGGGGATGTCTTCCTGATTCTACAGCGATATCACCTTCCAGAACCGCCATCGATGTTCGACAAGCGCTGATCCCACGACAAGGCGATGGAGGCGTGTTTTCTTCGGGCGTCTACACATGATCACGGGTCTTCCGTGTACGGAACGCTCACGGAAAACTCTCCGCAGAAATGCTGCGGGCTGTCAATCGATCGTCTTCGTGCGGACGGAGACGGATAGCATGCCTGCTGTGGTAAGACAGCCATATTCGGGCGTCCACGCGTATTCAGACGACGGGCGTGTCGCTGGTTTCTTGGCCTTATCTGGAGGAAAAGCTCTACATGACTCTACTGCTTGATTGGTTGGATCACTCCAAGAGACTTCACACAGGCGGCGTCCACCATTACATCGACTGGGCCAAGTTAACTTAGTCCTTCTCTGATATCCAATGTCTGGGCAGTACTGCACGACCCGTATGTCCGCGCTGTTCAAAACCTTTTGCTAGGGACCTGCTGGTGCGTCCCTCA